TTTATATCTAGTGAAATAAATAGGGCCTTAATATTTTTGTTTAGGATTTATTAGTGTTTCACTTTGTTAAAATTGTAAAATATTAATTTATTAATAAAATTATATTACAATTAAAAAGATCATCGTTATTCCATCAACTCAATATTTTTCACCTTTATCTCATTACATCTGAAGATACGATTATTGAATCAAACAAGAAAAGAAAAGTATTAGAATGTGCCAAATAAAGGGGTGTTTTCAGAAGTGGATTAAAAATTACTTTTTAATTTTTAACCTACTTTTTTTCTCTCAAAAAAAAAATAAAAAAATAATCAAAAAAAAAAAATTTTTAACTCTCTTTTCAAAACACCTCAAAATCTTCAGATAATTGGCTGCGGCTCGTGAAGTAGGAGGCGCGTGATTTATGAGAAAGGATGATGTCGAAGGGTGAGGACGCAGTGTCCCGCAATTCGTGCACTGCCTCCCTCTCCTCTTTTTTTATTTTTTTGTTATTATTTTTTTTATGAAAAACGATGCACCGACTCCCTGCCATTCGCACGTGCTCACGTGATTAACCTTCTCACCTTTGTCAATTGATTAGGGCACCCCCTATTACTTAAATAATAATAATAAGTGGGTGCAAACAAAAAAAAATATATTATAAAAACATATGGGTTTCAGGGATTTAGAATTGTTGTGCTCTTGGCCTAACAGTCACTATTTTACAGTTTTTAAAGTTTATTTTGGTATTTATTTTGGTAATTGAAATTGTTTATATTTTTGATTATATCAAGTAAATTATATCTATAAAAAATTAAGTTAATCAAAAATCGTTAAAATTTTTATTTACTAAAATTTGTATTTATTTTAATATTTTAAATTACAATTGTCATTTATGTTTATAGATATAAATATGAGTGGATGAAAGAGTTAACGATATCCGATTAACTTAATTTTTTGTAAGTATATTATACTTGATATACTCCTGTTCGAATCATCAAAATGGATCCCAAAATAGGCCCATAGGGCTGCACAACAGTGATTGCTATGCTTCCAGCACAACAGCTACTCCAACTCTAGCTTTAAGTAGTTTTGTGATGGGATACAAGTGAAAGGGTTATAAAGGTGCAAGTGTGACTTGCACCCCACCATGTTTGTATAATTTTTTTCTCCATTGAGATATAATTCCTCATAATAATAATGTAATTAGTCTAATAAAATAATGATCCATCCAAACAATTTTCTTTTTTAAATCTCTCAAATGACGTGGCAAATAAAATTTTAAAAGTTAAACCACATTTTAATATTCTCTTAAAACTTTCCTTACACTCAAATTTTCTTAATGGTCATAATGATAGAAAGGTGTTTTGTACACGCACAACATGTAACAATTGGCATAGAACTTGCATTCTATATTATCACTTCATTCAAGGGGTTCGGAGGAAAATTATGTAAATATAACACTGATTGCCCATTATCAAATTTTCATAAATTAAGTTGATTTTTATATATTTATGATTATGATTTATCAGAATATTGTTGGTATCATCCTTCAAATCGTGCAATGAAACACAATATAATTGAAGTAGTTTAATTTGTTGATAATTATATTGTCAATGTTTGTATGATTATTTATTTTTTGTCTTTATGTGTTGCATAAATGATTTATCTATTATATTTTATAAACAAAACAAACATTTTATAAGTAAAACAAACATGGTGATAATATATATGCATTTTTTTTTAAAGATTGGGATAATATATATGTATTTAATATTTAATTATGGATAATACGAATTTAATGCTAGTACTTCATGTACAAATCAATCACGAATTTAATGCATGTTCGATGGTCAATTTTATAATTAGAGTAAATGTATATATATTACAGTGATATCAGGTCATGATATTATCCATCAATAAAAAAAAAATTTTTGTTGCAATGAGATTACATATAGTTAAATTAGTAGGGAATCAATGCTGTCGCCTAATTCTATTTGTAAGATGGTGTCATCCTTGATTCTTGTGATCAGCAACAGTAGTATCAATATATTTATTCACATTGATACCAATTATCAATCCATCAAGCTAAAAACTATTTGCTTTGTTTATGTCATATATTATAAGAAATGTTACTATGATTAAATGAAGCCATTAAAATTTAAATATTTAACTTTTGTATTATACTGATTTAATAATAACACATCAAATTATATAAAAACATTTAATACCTAAATTTAATTACCATAACATTATTGATACAAATATTTATACATTATGTTATTAATAAAATCGAACACTTAGCCTCCGTTTGGGAAATGTGTTGGTTTTTTGACTTTTTGACTTTTTTAGCTATTTTAGCCTGGGCTAAAAAGTTTGGTTTGGGAAAGACTTTTTGACTTTTTTGACTTTTTTTATGAGAGAAGAATGCAATGATTATGGATTGGATGTGAGATTTTATTTTTTGTGGTTAAAATAGCCTATTTTGTCTTTTGTGACTAAAATAGTTAAAAAAATCCCGTTTAGCTCTTGCCAAACGGAGCCTTAGTAATATAGAATAGAAGTAGATAAATGATAATAGAGTCCTTGTGGGGTGATGATTCCTCCCTCATAATTAAAGTAAATTTTTGTTATATTCTATTCGGCCTAGACAAACATTGTACCAAAATTATTGTGGTTTTCATTTTAAATGTTGATTGAATTGGTCAATACTACAATAGGAAGGGGGGAAAAAAAATCAAGATCTTAAAAACAAGGCTACAACTTCTTGCAACTTATAATGAATAAAAGGGGTGCCCAAACAACTTTCAATTTTTTACCTTATAACGTGTACGATGTTATTATCATAAACACTAAGTTTGGCTTTTACAATTGACATAACAATGATTTAATAATGCTTTAAGATATCAATCCAAATCTAACATTCAGAATGGCTCCTGCCTCTTTTGACCAGTAAAGATTCTGTGCCACCGTAAAATGTCATTTTTACCCTTCATCATCTTACCTCTTGCATTAGGCAACATTAAAATATAATTGGTGTTTGGCAAAATATGTGGAGAATTCCTATTATGTTGCCATCCAAACAGGAAATGAAACAAGTTTTGAATAGCTTGGGGATGTGCGTGGGGTGGAGGGCATAGATCTATTTTTATGATTTGAATTATTTATTTTGTTAGATGATAAATATAATCAAATTATATAGTTATAATTATTAAAATATTTTTTTTTTGGGTAAATAATTTGCACATACAATTCACCTAATAAATGATGAATATCAAAATGAGACTCGTGATAAATCTAATAAAATCTAACATCATCTTTAGTTTACTGTGACCATGAGACAAACCTAACCAATGAAAAAGTACATAAACAAAAAAGAAATACTAGTATGATTGGCATTAGTATTGGATTTGTGCATCAATTATGTCAAAGTAATTGTTGAAGATGTCCAATGCTTACAAAAATCTATATGTAAGAAGTAAAATATTTATGTTGTGTTCCGATTTAAACAATCCTATTTTCACTCTCTTTTTTTTTTTTTACCAATTTTATTGTATACTTTTTATATAAACAACAAAATAATTTATCTTAAGAGAACAAAGAAGAGAAGTGTAAAAGTTTAAGAGGAGCAAGGTAGTTGAGAAAAATATAAACGAATTCATACAAATTTGACTAATAAAAAAAATTATATTTAGTTAAAAGGTTTGAAAACTTTATTTTTTTGGCTAAAAAGAAATTAAAAAGTCAAGAAAAGAAAAGTCAAAAAATAAAAGTCATCAAAAAGTTTTGCCATCCAAACAGGAAATGAAACAAGTTTTGAATAGCTTTGGAGTGTGTGGCGTCATCACATATTCGTTTTAATGATTTGGATTATTTATTTTGTCAAATGATAAATATAATCACTTAACCCATGAAAAAGTGCATAAACAAAAGAGAAATACGAGTATGATTGGCATTAGTGTTTGTGCATCAATTATGTCAAAATAATTGTTGAAGATATCTAATGCTTACAAAAATCTTTATATAAGAAGTAAAATATTTAGATTGTGTTTGGATTTAAACAATCCTATTTTCACTCTTTTTTTTTTTTTTTTTTTTAAACCAATGACATTTCGTGTTTTATTTCTATTATATACTTTTTATATAAATGACAAAATAATTTATCTGTAAGAAAAGAAAGAAGAGAAGTGTAAAAGTTTGAGAGGAGCATGGTAGTTGAAAAAAATATAAACGAATTTATTACAAATTTGACTAATAAAAAAATTATATTTAATTAAAAGGTTTAGAAGCTTGACTTTTTGACTTAAAAAAAATAAATTAGAAAGTTCAAAAAGAAAAGTAAAAAATAGAAGTCACTAAAAAAAAATCAATACACCTAAAGTGATTCACAATTTGCAATACAATTAATAAAAAGTCATTTCAAGTATATTGATTTTCAAAAAACTAAAACATTACTAAAAAAAAAAATCAATTCCAAAATAGCTACAAGAACAAAGCGACCTCAAAAATTTTATATAAACATTTTTTATATGATAAATTACAGTCACTTCCCTTGAAATCAGAAGAAAATAATATTATTATTATATTTTTGACATAATTATATTAACATTTTATTTAGTATGGTTAAAGTTACCGTACTAACTTTAATGACAGGTAGGCATTAAAATAGACATTTTCATAAAAAATATAAATATAATTTTTTTTATTTATATAATTAATAAATTATTGATAGAAAAGGGTCTATGTATTATTTGAATTAAAATTTTACGAGAAATCAATATAAGTGCCAAAAATATGTATATTTTTTAAAAATTTTAGATGAAATGAGTATAATTTATTATTTTTATAAATATGATATGACATCAAAAACACAAAAGAGTACAAACTGTTTGGTTGGAGCAAGCGAACCAAACCCTGCAACCAAACAGAAATTCGTAACAGAAATGGAGGGTACCAAGGTGATTTTGGCTTTTCTGAGAGGCTCCCAAGGCCTGATCTCTCTTCTTTTCTTTCTTTCTTTTGCCTCACTGTTTGAGCTTTTTGTAAGGAGGAGAAAAGCTGTCCCCACTCTTTTTTCCATGGTAAAATCACCACAACAAACAAACATCAAATCCCTCTCTCTCTCTCTCACTCTCTACTTTTTACCTTCCCCTGTTCTCAGATTACTTGGGAGCAACAAAAGAGAAAATAGTGAGAGAGAGACAGAGATTAACAGAGGGATGAAGAAAGGGTCTTCCTTGTGGTTAGCATTGTAGAGTTGCTAAAGAGGATAAAAAAGCTCAGTTAGAGAAATTCTCAGTGGTAGTAGTAGAGAGAGACAGAGAGAAAGGGTTTAATTGTGAAACTGAAACAGAGAGAGAGAAAAAAAAAAGGAGGAGAGAGAGAGAGAGAGATGGTGGGCTCAGGAGGATCAGATAGGACTAGGAGCAAAGAAGCAGTTGGGATGATGGCCCTTCATGAGGCCCTCAGAAGCGTCTGTCTCAACTCAGACTGGACTTACTCTGTTTTCTGGACAATTCGTCCTCGCCCGTATGTCCCTCTCTCTCTCTCTCTCTCTCTCTCTCTCTCTGTGTACACTTTTCGTATCTTCAAATTAAGATGTCTTCTCAAATGGGTCTTTGCCATTATTGCAGTAGAGTTAGAGGTGGTAATGGTTGCAAAGTTGGAGACGACAATGGTAGCTTGTGAGTATAAAGTTCTTCTTTCCTTAATTTTCTTGCGAAAATGGAGGAAAATAAGAGATGGGTTCTGCTAATTGTTTTGTTTTACTGTTTTTAATGTTGTTCTGAGGTTAAGTACTGTTTGGATGAGCAATTAATTGAAGTGGGTTATGCGTTGATTGTATTTTTGGTGCAGGATGTTGATGTGGGAAGATGGGTTTTGCAAAGGAAGAATTGCAGATTGTTTGGAAGAAATTGATGGAGGTGAAGATCTTGTCAAGAAAGCCTTCAGCAAAATGTCCATTCAGTTATATAATTATGGAGAAGGGTGGGTAATTGGTAGGTCTTATTTTAAATTATTGTTTTAACATGAAATCTCTCTCTCACATATAGTAATTTTGGGGAGTAAAATTGATTATACAAATAAAAAAATTGGCTAAATCTTTAGTGCTCCTCTTCGATTATATCGCAATGTGTTTGAAGTTATGACTCAATGACATTATATCCTATCTCTATTATCTTATTGAGTTGTAATTGTAACTCAAAATTACGATTCAACATGATTGTTGCATAATTAAAAACATTATGTTTTTATTGAAGAGTCTAAGCATGATCAACACCCTCTTCGATTGTATCACAGTGTGTTTGAAGTTATGATTTAATGATATTATATTGTATCTCTATTATCTTATTGAGTTGTAATTGTAACTCAAAATTACGATTCAACATGATTGTTGCATAATTAAAAACATTATGTTATCATTGAAGAGTCTACGCATGATCAACACCCATCCTTTAAAGGATGCACATTAGACATCGTTTTAAATTTTTCATTATTATTATTATTATTTTTGACTTGTTTGGTGTAGCTTATGAGGACTACTTATCCCTTTTTCATTTTGAAAGTCTTTTCAGAATATTTGATTCCTTTTAAAGTTTATGAGGCGAAAATAACTTGATAAAAATGGGTACTTTTTGCCTTTTTATTTTCTGATTAACAAGTGAACCAGATAGATATGGTTGTGTTTTAATTGGGTAAATTGGTCTGATCTGATCAGGTTGATGGGGAAGGTAGCTTCTGATAAGTGTCATAAATGGGTCTTCAAAGAACCAACTGAATGTGAACCAAATGTCTCCAACTACTGGCAGAGCTCTTTTGATGCTGTAAGTACTAAAAAAAGAAAAGAAAAAACGCACTCACATCACACCTCTCCTTATCTTTCCTTTTCTTTTTTCTTTTTGATCATTCATTTTCCAATCATAAAACATAGTAGGAGGTGTTATGATATTATTGGAAAATGAACTTTCATAAATTAGACTCAAGTCTCAATCAATCATTGTGAAATTATTGGCATAAATAATGAATCATATGTACCCTTTTTTCATTTTATTAATTGCAGCTTCCCTCTGAATGGACTGATCAGTTTGAGTCAGGCATTCAGGTCAGTATCAATAGTTGAAAAAAATGTTGTGGTCTCCGTTTTTTGTGTTGTCAACAACGTTCTTCTATTTTCTTGCTGTTTTGCTTAGTATGTGTTTATTTATTTATTGTTTGTCTTGTTCAGACCATAGCTGTAATTCAAGCTGGCCATGGCCTTCTTCAATTGGGTTCTTGCAAGATTGTGAGTTTCATTTTTTTCTCCCTTTTAATCTATTGTGAGTTTTTGCATTGTGATCCATGATCAATTAATAAAAATATCACGACTGTACATGTTAGCAACATAATGTACCTATACTGAGGTTGTTTGGGGTGCTTTAAATAAGTGTACTTTTTGTCTTTTTGGATTAAAAAATTGAGGAAAAAAATATGGATGTTTGGGTTAACTTTTTGACTTTTTATGAAAAATATGTATAAAAAAATTGTATAAATTAGTGTATAGGGAAAAATTAGAATTGGGAGTTGTGCAGCCGTAATTTTTGATTTTTGGTGAATAATGATAACTTTTTAACTTTTTGAGTAACTTTTTAACTTTTTTGATTTTTCATGGGTTCCCAAACTTGGCCTTAAAACTTTATGCGCAATTTCTTTCAATAGAAAACATTTACACGGAGAACTTTTTTTTTAATAATATTTTTCGAAGAAAATGGTTTCGTATGTTTCGTTGTTTTCTTAAAACTAATATACTAATGATTGTATTAGTGGTGGTGGCAATGGCGGCGGTAGTGATGGTGGGGTGGAGGTGGTGGTGGTTGGGCGGTGATGGTGGGGGTGGTAGCATGGGTAGCATTGGTAAGACTCTAATCTAGAAAACGTTTTTTACTTTCTAAAAATAAAAGTTATTTTCTATCCAAATAAGCTTATTTTTCATTGATTATGAAAAATATTTTCCGTTGTGCATGACGCCACAAAATAGAAAAAATAATATTTTCTAGCCAAATAAATGGAGCCTTAATGAAAATAATGATGATATGAACAAATGAGAATATCTCTGGAGCCTTGTTGCGCGGACATATACATTCTTTATATGCAGTAGTCCTCATGGTTGTTTTTTTAGTATTTATTGTTCATTTGACACACATACACACTAAATTTCAACTAGTAGAACTTTGATCTCATTGAGTGAAAATATATTCATCATTCTCAGATACCAGAAGACCTCCATTTTGTGCTGAGAATGAGGCATACTTTTGAATCGCTTGGCTACCAATCTGGCTTCTACTTGTCCCAACTATTCTCTTCCACCAGAAACACAAACTCTTCTTCACCCTCACTTCCTTCAAAACAACCCCCCATTCTCACCCGCCCTCCACCGCCCCTCTTTAACTGGGGCCAAAGGCCTCTTCCCTCCACCACTTCACTCCTCGTGTCTCCCAATTTCCCAAACCCCACTGCGAGGCTTGGATTTCCAAACTCCAAAGACGAAACCCATATGTTTCTCCATCCTCATTCATCTGAAACACGAATGGAGGACATGATGGGTGATCATGAAACCGACATCAAGTGGCCCAATGGGTTGAGCTTCTTTAATGCCCTCACGGGGCGAGCAGATGATGCCAAGCTTCTGTTTGCCCCAGAGGGGATGGAAAACAAGCCCAACCAGATGGCAAATTCTAACTCAGATGCTGTGACGAATCCTAATGAGTTATTGAGTTTGGATAGCCATTCAGAGAGCGTGAGGAAGATGGAGAACAAGTTCAAGAGAAGCTTTACATTGCCTGCAAGAATGGCCTCATCGTCTTCATCGAATTCGCATGATCACCATTCACACAATCCTATGGAGTATAAGAACTCTGAAGGGGGGATGTACTCTGATGTGATGGACAGCTTCTTAGGGTGATTTTTCACGAGGTCTATTATATATTTTAGAGGATCAAAGGGTGAGAAGTTGTATCTAGGTTTTGCTAGCTAGCTCTCTTTTGCTGCTTTGTGTTTCTGTTTTTGTGATGTTATTTCATATCTTGTGTTTCTTTGTTCAATTTGCTGACATTTTCCTTCAGTTGTAGACTTACAGTTTATGCAATCAAGAAAATTTTCCTCAAAATATGTTCTTTGCATACAGCTGAAATTGAAGAGGATAATAATGACTCGACATGGTAGTTGAGTGAACGCCAAATCTAGACAGTAATGTTAGGGACGAAGAACTCAAATGAAAAAATGTCAAGAAAAAAAATGAAAAAATGTCAAGAAAAAAATGTGTGGATCAAATTTAACACTCGAATGTGAATATGAATACATTCTTCTTAATTATTTTTTTTTGTCTCCATTATTGGTCCCTATCGTTACCGCAAACCTAAATAATTGAATTAGCAACTTATCTAATAAAATAATTAAGTTATTTTATTTTATTTTGGCAAAAAAATAAATAAATATTAGACGCACACAAATGTGGATTAGTTTAAGATCTTTCACGAGTCATATATATATATATATATATATTTAAAAAATAGAAAAAATTAATGAAACATTCCTCTCCAGTTTTGTGTAGTAGGAGAGATGAAATATGTTTTTTTTTTTTATTAACTAAGGTTCCTCAATAATTTTACAGAGAAAATTTGATTTAGAGAAATTTTACTAGACTCAGCGAAATTGTTGTCCCGATTAAGAGAAATTTCAATTTTTACAGATAAATTTTGAAATTTCTTTGAGTCGGGGCCAAATTTTTCTAAGTTGAATTTTTTCTATGAAAATGTAGAGGGACCTTAATTACTATGAAAATATTATATGTTTTTTATTTTATAAAATTTTAATGTCAGAGACTAAAAAAAATTCCTCCCAAAAAAAGGCAACAACAGCCGGGAAAATATTTTCTTCCCTTACTTGGAGAGGTGAATTTCATGTTGAGCATCTATATTCCTTGATGCATGTTCATTAAACCAAATTACTACGAGTTCATATTTGATGTTTATAAGCAAGAAGTTAGGTGTCACAAAAATTATTTCAAAAAATTAGTTGCAAAGTTGTACTGGTTGATTGATTAATGGGAAAATTGCAAATAAGTGGTAATTTCATAAAATTTTTACAAATTTATGAAAAAATTTACAATTTTAATTATTAAAATTGATAAACTTTTTCACTGATTTATAATTATTTTTGAAAACTTGCACTGAAGTGCAATTTCCCATTGACTAATCCTAAACTGTGACGATCAATTAAACAACATCTACCTGATAGATTTCAGGAAATGTTTTATCATGGTAGCATTGCTGGTTTGTAAAACATAAACATATACTATACTGTCAAAAGTACAAGTCACACAAAACAAAATAATCATAATATGCTTTCATGTCTAAAAATTACATACACAGTTGTAAACAATAATATAAATTAAAATGTAATTCGGAAAATAAGTTGCTATATTTATTGTTGTTTCAGGTATTAAATTAAAGGCCGAGAAAACTTTTAATATTCTAATGAGCGACTCAAATTCAAAAAAATTAAATTTTACATTAAATTTTTTATGAGCAAGTACACGAACAGTTTGATTTTGCAGTTTTAACTCAGCCAACCGCTTTTGGGAAGAAAAAAAATAGCCTAATTTAGGTTAAAAATCACAAAAAGATAAAATAGGCTAAAATAGTTAATAAGACAAAATATCACATCAAATCCATAATCATTTCATTTTTTCTCTCACAAATATCAACCACAAAAAAATCCAATCATCTTCTCAAACACAAAAATTTTAACCTATTTAAATAACCAAAAATTAAAATAGCCTACTAAAATAGTTACTTTCCAAACGAGGCGATTCTAAAGATCAAGATCAGAAGCAAAAGACAAAAACATATGTTGTGCTTTAAAAACATCCAAAAACAATTTAAAAAAAAAAAAAACTTCAAGAACAACCAAAAAAAACACTTCCACTGATCAATCACTGCACCTCCAAATCTCTCGATGATGGTTTGATAGCGTGACATTCCTTACACGCCGACACCACTGAAGTGAAAAACCTCCGGCCACACCCCACTGCCTTCTCGCCGCCTTCTTTCTTGCCTCTCAATCCTTCTTCCACCGCAACCTCCGCCTTTCTCCGCCGCGAAACCTGGTGGCTCAATTCCGGCGCCGCCGCAATAAACTGCCACCGTTTCGCAGACCCATATTGTCTAACCATCTCTCTCGCCACCACAGGCATTTTGACCGCAACAACTTTGGAAGCTCTGTTCAATGGCTTCCTCTGATTAGAAGAAGAAGAAGAGGGTTCGCTTGTGCTCGTTCTGGCGCTGCTGCTAGAGCTGTTGCTCCGAGACGACGATATTGAGGATCGGCTAGTCTGAGCTCGAACAAGAATAATGAGTGTTTGTGGGTTGGGTTGGATTTGGGATTGGAAAAGAGTGAGGTAAGAGGTGGCCATTGAAGAAGAGATGATCGGCTGATGAAGAAGGTGTTGTTGTTGCGATTGTCAGAGACCCAAATTCGAATTCTGATTCTTCTTCGATTCTTGTGCTTGGGAAGGAGAACTTGTCGCTGGAGATGGTTTTGCGCCGGTGAGATTCCATGGAAATTGTGTTGTTCACATTGATAGTTGAGTGAGCTGTGATGTTTATATATATATATATATATATTTATATGTATTTATGGTGAAAGACTATGGTGCAGCCGTATGTACCATACAAGTCAGGATAGAAAGGACATAATTTTATATTTTTGTGAGTCATAATTAAAAAAATAAAAATAACTCATAACTAATATATGAGACATAAGTAAAGATTTGATAAATGATAGTGAAAAAACGAAATTAGTCATAATAATTAAAGAAAAAAAATTACATAACTTAAAGGGCAGGGGTGTATATATTAGAATTGGGTAAGGCTGTCTCCAATTTGGTTTCAGACTAAATTGTACTATTAGGCTTCCATGGGCTCATCATAGAATGTATATTGATGACCAGAATTGTTTAATATGTAGGGTTTGTCAAGTTCTTCATCCTTACAAAAAATTATGTTGATCGAATATTAATTATTACTTGATCACAACATATTTCTATTAACATTTAAAAAAAAAAAATTCATACTAAACGTTGACAGAAATGTGATCTGATCAAGTAACTATCGATATCCGATCAACGTAATTTTTTATATAGATAAAACACTCAAGAAACTCTATATATTAAACAGTTTGGATCATAGATACATATTCCGTAATGAGCCCATAAAATCCAACCATGTCCTCCAATTCAATTACGGACCGATCACAAGCACCCCCATTACAATTTCTCCGTATGTATAAGATAAGCATGCGAAGCCAAAGTTTAGTGATATAAACAAGGTGTGGAATGGTCGGCTGCGACAATGCTGCTTTCCAAGAAACTGTTCTCCAGAAATTTCTATAAAAAAAATTATGTGTAATCTCATATATTAGTGTTTTGGATGAATTTTATCAATTCTTTCTAATTTGTATGTTTCGTCATTTTAGTTTTCAATCATTAATAAATTTAATAGAAGGTCATTCTAGATTTTAATCTTTCAACACTTTGAAGAGAGTAAATGAAATATTTTGTTGTTTTATTTCAATCTAATTTTTAAAAAATATTATCAATTAGATTAAATTAAAATTTAAAGATAAAGATAAAATTAAAATAATTAGAATTATGAAAATCGAATTGACACGTATGATAAATTATAAATGTTAGTAATGGGCGCTCATGTGGCATGACCATTTGAATTTGAATTTGAATCTTATCCAAATAGGTTTTGAAATTGAATTCAAACCTATTTAGGATAACCACTCTGGATACAGATATTATCTTCATTAACTAATATGGATAGATAATAATAAAATATTATATATCTATATATGGGTTATGGGTGATTAAGAGAGAAACAACGTATCATCTGAGTTTTACCAATATATTGACTCTCTCCCAAAAGAACAACGATCAAGTCATTTGCACTGTGAATTGTGTGGGTGATATTCAATCTGTGATATCACTTCACTGCTGGGTTGGTTTATCAGACTCTGGAAGCACGTGATTTACCCACGAGGTTCTATCATCTAAAGATATGATCGAAATATTTTATCCGCTGCATTTTTTATACTTTGATTTACATTGGTATCAGAGCCATAAATATGGGTATTTTCGTGCTTATTTTTATTCATTGAAATATGTGTATATTTTTTATATAAATATATATACATGATATATGCATGAATATTAATGGAGGAGGAAGATGAAGTGCACGGTTTTTTTTTTCATTTTAACTCCATTAGATTGAGAGAGTGATATACCTCATTTTTATATTGTTTAAATGTCATTTTTAATGCCATAAATGTTTTTATTGTGAAAAATGGAGTCCGACAGTACAAAAATCGGACTAGAAAACACCCGGGAAGGCGGCGCGTGTGATTCACGCGCTGTATGACGCCGCCCCAACCTGGCCCAAATTTTGGCAGGAGCTCGCAAGGCTCGACATGGGCCGGGTCGGGCCAAATTTACACCACTAATCACGTATCAGAACGACGCTTACAGCATGAGTAGATACCACAAACTATAGGATGAGAATGTAACTCAGCACAAGAGTAGAAGAGGAATGGAGCCGAGGTATGTTTTCAGTCCTTCCAGGGCCAATTGACATTTCAAAGTCCACTTGAATGATTTCCTTTGTCGAAGTGTCTGAAAGAACGGCCTATATCGGAGAGATGATCGGCTGATGAATTTGTTGTTGTTGTGATTGTAAGAGACCCAAATTCGAATTCTGATTCTTCTTCGATTCTTGTGCTTGGGAAGGAGAACTTGTCGCTGGAGATGGTTTTGCGCCGGTGAGATTCCATGGAAATTGTGTTGTTCACATTGATAGTTGAGTGAGCTGTGATGTTTGTTATATATATATATATATATATATATATGTATTTATGGTGCAAGACTATGGTGCAGCCGTATGTACCATATAAGTCAGGATAGAAAGGACATAATTTTATATTTTTGTGAGTCCTAATTAAAAAAAATAAAAATAATTCATAACTAATATATGAGGCATAAGAGCATCTCCAATGGTAATAGGTATTTTACCTATTTAAATATTACTATAAAGTATATATTTTATTTTGCCTATCAACTATTTCATATTTCTACTCCAACCATGCTCTTTATTTTAGTTGTTTATCTAAATACTATTAATTTTAAAAAATGCCACATCAACAACAAAGATGGAGGGAAATGATCCTAATGATTAAATTCATTTTGCTTAGCCTTGAAGTCTAGCTATATGTAGCTAGTGAATGTGAGTTGAGCTAAAATACCTAATCATATGCCTAGTGCATTAGAGTTGAAAAAAATAAGTTATACTAAAAATTTTAACTAACAAACATTATATACCTAGTGAGTTGGAGATGCTCTAAGTAAAGATTTCATAAATGAGAGTGGAAAAACGAAATTAGTCATAATAATTAAAGAAAAAAAATTACATAACTTAAAGGGCAGGGGTGTATATATTAGAATTGGGTAAGGCTGTCTCCACTTTGGTTTCAGACTAAATTGTGTACTATTAGGCTTTCATGGGCTCATCATAGAATGTACATTGATAATGATCTGAATTGTCAATATGTAGGGTTCGTCAAGTTCTTTATCCTTACAAAAAATTACGTTGATCGAATATTAATTGTTACTTGATCACAACGTATTTCTATTAACATTTAAAAAAAAAAAGCATACTAAACGTTGACAGAAATGTGATCTGATCAAGTGAGTATCGATATCTAATCAACGTGATTTTTTATAGAGATGAAACATTCAATAAACTCTATATATTAACAGTTCAGATCATAGATACATATTCCATAATGAGCCCATAAAATCCAACAATGTCGTTCAATTCAATTCCGGACCGATCACAAGCACCCCCATTAGAATTTCTCCGTATGTATAAACATGTAAAGCCAAAGTTTAGTGATATAAACAAGGTGTGGAATGGTCGGCTGCGACAATGCTGCTTTCCTAGAAACTGTTCTCCAGAAATTTATATAAAAAAAATTGTGTAATCTCATATATTAGTGTTTTGGGATGAATTATATCAATTCTTTCTAATTTGTAAGTTTCGTCATTTTAGTTTTCAATCATTAATAAATTTAATAGAAGGTCAATCTAGATTTTAATCTTTCAACACTTTGAAGAGAGTAAATAAAATATTTTGTTGCTTTATTTCAATCTATTTTTTTAAAAAAATTGTCGATTAGATTAAATTAAAATTTAAAGATAAAATTAAAATAATTAAAATTATGGAAATCGAATCGACAAGTATGATAATAAATTATAAAGACTACAAATATAATTTAACGAACAAACTCACATTCAGAATATGAACCTTTGTTAGAACAGTAATTATCATGTGCGGAGAAATCATACACATGAAAACAATATGTGGTTCGAATTTAATTGACAGACTTGCATTCCAAATAAATTTGGATTGCACGTTGATTTTTTATTTTTTTATTTCTTGTGCATGAATTTTTTGAGTAGGATTGCAGTGATTGGAGCATCCGATAAACATGGTGGTCTAAATTATGTGTTGCTTAAGTTGCCAACTCAACCTTAATTTTTATAATTACATGGTGTCGTAATAATCTTCAGAGCATGGGTAGTCTGCTGTCAACTTGCTTTTGTTTTTTTGAAGGACTCGGCCTCCAAAAAAACCCCCAAAAAAAAAAAAAAAAAAAAACACTTTCATAAAGCAAAAGAGAATCATAATCCAGAGAGAGAGAGAGAGAGAAGTAGTCAAGCGACTCAAGTGATAGAAAATTGGGCTATTTGGGCTCTCACAAGACCATGCAATGATGGGTTCAACATTGTGGCTTGGAAGCAAAGGCAAGAGGAAGAATACGGCTTCATACCTATTCTTAATTAAATAAATTTAAAAATACATAAATCAAATATAGCAAATAAATAAATGAATAAATTTTTTTAAATACTAAATTTACAAACAAAATTTATTAAATCTAATCACATCATATATTTTTTGTTTCAAACTCTGTGTTTGGTTTTTATATTTAATGACATTGTTGTTTTTAATTTGATCAAACACTTGGTGGTCACTCCCAAACATGGCGACAAAACAATTATAAGGAAATTCCATGTCTCCCATTTGGGTTTATGTAGAGGACCCATGAGCCAATTTCCATCTCATCATGCCCTTAGGACCACTGGTCAGCCAGTTTTTGGGTTTCACTTTCTGGCCATCCAAACAATTCATTACTTAGTGGTGTTTTGGAAAAATGATAAAAAGCTAATTTTTGGGTGTAAAAAAGTAGAGAGGTGATATGACCCCAAAAAAATTAAAAAACTAAAAAGTTTACTTTTTACCAGCTTGCCAAAACGCGCCTTAATCTTCCTCGTCTGGATCTTTAATCACCCTTTATTATAGGACCCAAGCCATAGTTGGACAAACCTATTTTCTTTTTTCTAAGAAAAGGAAATGTGAAAAGAAAATTTTATTCACAACAATGAGTTTCGAATTCAGACACTATGTTTGAGAGAGTGTCTCAACCACTCAGCCAACTTCTTAATTTTAGAAATCTATTATTTCAATAGTAAAGTTATGATGATTAAAATTTGAACACTTCTTTTAGTTTTCAGACCTTTTTTTTTTAAAAAAAAATATGATAGTTGAAAAAAGATTACTAATAGAAAAAAAATATTATAGTATTTGGAAATGAAAAAACGAAATCAAAATGAAGAAATTTATAATGTGTATTCCTAAAAGGTGCATGCCATACAAAAGTTTTAGTTTTAGTTTTGTTTAATTTTTCAAAAACTATTTTAAAATAAATTTTCCTTTATTTTTAGTAATTAAAAAAAATATTTTAATCATTTTTTAATACTTTTTAAATGCACCTATTTAAGACCCATCTAAAAAGTAAAAAAAAGGAAAATTAGTTTAAGGTCCTTCTTCCATTTTTAGTAATGGAAGAGATTCACAATATTATTTTTTGATGTCTAAGGTCCTTAAATCCATATTATATACCATATCAGAGAAATTTGACTTTTTGTCTCTCCTATCAGTTGTGTATTGGGGACGCTTGGTGGTCTGCTGTAGCAGGTTTCTAGGTGGAAGCTTCGTTGCTCTGGTTCTCCGATGGATGGTGATAGTCGCAGGTTGGTAGCATGTCGTTGGTGAGATCGTGTGTCACTGGAGTGTTGCTATGGTTTGGACACAGATGCATCGCCGACAGTGTGTCTATGACACCTCGGGTGAGGTCAGTGTATCCTGGTTCGTTTGGTCTGGGTGTCCAAGATGGTAAATATGGAGATTCAGGTTCCATTGTTCCAGGTCGGTGGTTTCGCCATACATGGTAGTGGTCCAGTGGTGCTGTTGATTTCCGTTTCTAGCACGAGGTGAGGCGTGTGTCTATTTCTACACATGTTAGCTGGTTGATGGCTTTGGTACATGGGGAAATGTATATACGTGGATGGTTTTTCAGTCCACAGTTTTGTTCAAAACTAGCTTTTGGTCTCTTCAGAGCTGCGTGCTACATACACCATCTCTTTGCGAATTTCTCTAGGTTTGAGGAATTTATCTGGTTTGAGTGAATTTCTTTGGGTTTGGAGAAGGGAAATTTCTCTGAAGAGAAGGGAAGGCTAGGAAGGCCAAAGAAATTTTCTCTGGAGAGGGAAATTTCTCTGAAGGCCAGAGAAGGAAAATTTCTCTGGAAAAAATGGAAGACTAGAAAAATGTTCAAATTTTCTTTGGGGAGTTAAGTCTAGGAGAGGCAGGGAGGGCAGAGAAATTTGTTTAATTTTCTCTGCCTTTAATTGAGTAATATTGGTGAAGTCAATTTTCTCTGGATCTGGGAAGTCTAGAATTTATCAATTTTCTCTGGTTTGAAAATTGGTTAAACTAAACCCAGAGAAATTTGAATTTTCTCTGGGTTAAACCCAGAGAAATTCTTTGGAAGTCCAGAATTTCTCTGGACGAAATTTCTCTAGATCAAATTGAGGGACTTTAGACATTATGAAAATATTAGATGTCTTTTATGTTATAAAATTTTAATATCAGGAACCTTAAAAAAAATCTCTAAAATAAACTGGCTAAAATATAATATAAAAAAATGCTAAAAATAAACAAAAATTTGAACAAAAATCTATATGCATTCTTGTTCGGATTTTCGTTTATTTTTAGCGATTTTTTATTTTTATTTTTATATTTTAGTTAATTTTTTCTTTACTCTTTTGATGTATCTAATCTTACAACAACAACAACAACAAAAACAACAAAAAAAAAAAAAAAAAAAAAAAAAAAAAAAAAAAAAAACTAAAAGTTCAATAAGGACACACGAAAATCTGTTTAAAAGTAGTTTCTAAAAAACATAAACTAGCCTTATTTTTTTGTAGTGAAAATTATGAGGATATAGGAGGTTGCTGTCACAGCACCCCATTGTGACGTCTCAATCGAGGTTGGCTTTGATTTTATTTTGATAATCTGAACGGTTCATATTATAAAATTTGTTAAATATATTACTTATAAAAGAAAAATAAGATTAATCAAACATGCATAGGGCCATGATTAGGCCATAATTGTTTTTTTAAAAAATATTAAAATTATGTTAACTATTTATTTTTGTTAAACATAAATGTTGTCTTATTATGAGTTATAGATGTCCAATTGATTTAATTTTTTTCATGGATGATCTACTGACAAACTTTACAATATGAGCGGTTTGGATTGTCAAAAAAAAATTCAAAAAATACCTCCATGAATTCACAAATGGTAGATTGTGCTTTTCCCAGTTTGAAATTTTGAATGTTTGTGATATGTATGTTATGCCACTTTAAAATAAAATTATCAATAGTGAATTTATGGTGTCTATTGTACTATGTGCATTATTTTGCCCTGCACATTTTAGCCTTTCTTAATAAAAATATTTTAAAGAAAAATAACTAAAATGTATAATTTTGTTTGAGTGTATATTGGGTGTTTTTGGAACTTGCTAAAAAAAAAGTAATTTTTTTGACTTTTTAATTTTTTTACATAAATTGATACAAAAAGCTAATTTTTTTAGTAAAAAAAAGTCACTAAAAAGTCAAAAAAATCAACTTTTTACCAATTTCTCAAAACACCACACTAAGAACATGAATAGCTAAAATAATAATATAATAAAATTTTGAATAATTTTTTTAGACCTATTTTGGGAAGTAGGAAAAAGTTAACTTTTTGATTTTTTTTAAAATGTTTTTAAAAAATTGTGTAAAAAAATAAAATGATGATGTAATCTAAATATACCAATAAATCAATATGTTGGCTTTTTTTTTTAATTGTCAAAATAGGTCTTAGGCCTCATTTGGGAACAAGTTATTTTAATAACTTTTTGACTTTTTACTAAAAGATGTAGAGAAAAATAGAGAGAATGATGTGATAATTTATAATTATTTTTTGACATTTTAATTAAAATAATTACTCCACCAAATGAGGCCTTAATTTTAGTTTGTTGGAGATGCTCCTAACCTAAGGGTTGAAAAGTTGAAAGAAGTTTTGTACATGGGTTAAAAGGTAAATATCATAATTTTAAAGGTGAAATTATGCAATTTCAAGAGAATAGTGGATAAAAGCATAGAGCGTGGACAGTCGTAGTGAAAGAGAACGGTATTAACCCAAGGGGTTGTGGCATTGTGGTAAAGCCTTGGGGTTTAAGCCCCAAGGTCACAAGTTCAATTCCCCCCCTTGGGCCAATCTCCTGGGCGAAGCACTGTTGGTTAGGAGGTTGGACCTCAAGGATACCTAATCAGCTACTTGGTGTGGGTTTAACGTAGTGAAAGAGAACGGTACGTGTCAACTCCAGAAGAAGACACGTCATCCCCATTTCTTCTTCTAATACCCGCCCCGTTTCTGCTTCTCTCTCTCTCTCTCTCTCTCTCTCCAAACCGTCGTTTGCTTTCTCTCTCTAGGTAACCGCGCATTTCGATATACAGCCCTGTTTCAGCCATGACTGGCAAAGAAATTCTCCACAAGATGAAGGTACATACGCTCAATACACCTATTTACACAATATATACATATATGTATGTATGTGTGTGTATTTTCATGTTTTTTGGAATGGGTTTAGATCTGATTTTACGGGTCATTATCTGTTGTCTTGAAATTTGTAATTACTTTGTTTGTTGCCTGTATGTACAATCAAAGCCAATTTGCAGTTCATTGCAAGTTTTTGCTTGAATTGAACGCTAGATTCTTATTCATGGATTGTTGATTTAATAACACGCTAAAGAATAAAAATTGCTAAAATAGTCAAAATTCAACCCATAGTTATTTTATTTTTTCTCCCAAAACTATCGAATCAACTTAAAAGAAAATCGAACTTCTCAAACACAACTATTTTAGTCGGACTAAAGGAGCCAAAATATCAAATAGCCAACTTCCCAAACAATGCCACTTTCATGTTTGGCTAAGAAGATTTGGGTATGGACTCACGTTGGACTACTGAATCCCATGAAGAGGGTGAGACACAAAATTGGAGACTAATGAGAGGTTCATATTAATTGATTAAATTACGAAATTGATAAATATCAATCTCTCATATTATAATCCTGGGTCAACTCAAACATTAGATAGGATACAGGAATTGATAGTTTGAGGATTAATATGTTTTAGGAATACTAATCCCATCTAATCTAGTCTATTAATGTATTGTTATTACTTTTAAAAGAGGCGATTAGGTGTGCTAGAAAATTAATGTAGATATATACCTTCTTGATTGCAACTTACATTTCTTACCAAATAATTATTGGGATATAGAGTAGGGGTCTGCGAAATGATTGTCTACCCATCAAACTGGCTACCCCAACCCGACCCACGTGGATTGAGGGTAATGTATGTTGGGCTGGTTAGGATGTGAAAACATTCAGGCCAGTTTGGGTATGGGTTAATTCTTGTTTTACTTGTCGATCACTTGACGAACTTCCAAAGCTGCCAATTTTTTCAATTGACCAGTCAATTTATAGGACATTGATGCGTTGATGGCGGGTGAAAAAATCTTCAGGTCAACTAGGCAGCTTGGGTGTGGGTTAATTTTTTTTCACTTGTCAATCACCCAACCCGCTTTTGAAACTGCCAATTTTTTCACTGGTGAATTTAGAACATTGGTGGGTTGATGGCGGGTGAATAAATCTTCAAGTCACCTAGGTGGGTTGGTTGGAAAAATTTCTCTAAATCGGCCCGACCTGACCCGACCCGAGATTAGTAATAATTGCACCTTCCTTTTCTATAATTTTAGCATTATTCTTAGATTTAGGAAGCAATTCAAATGACATTCCTTCAAATGGATGATTGACATAAATGCTAAGGTGATCAAATTTGTTACCAAATTTTGGATGATGCATCACCAATATACATCTAGGTTCTACCTTTCATGTTCATTCAACCAAGGCTTTTAACCTAGAATTTTTATTAGACCTCTGTCAATTCTGATAAAATCTGAGCACGCTCTTAACTTGTTTCGTCAACCTTATAAATATGTGCAAATTTTGGGCCACAATTTTTCTTCATGGGCTGTAATTGCCTGTCTTTTGCAGGAAAAAGTTGGGCTAGGTTCATCTGCTTCTGACACTGGAAAAGGGAAGAGTAAAATGTCAAAGAACATAACACATGGTTATCACTTGGTTGAGGGAAAATCAGCTCACCCCATGGAAGATTATGTTGCTGCAGAGTTCAAGCAAGTCGATGACAATGAACTCGGTCTGTTTGCAATATTTGATGGTCATTTGAGCCATGATATTCCTGATTATCTGCGCTCTCATTTGTTCGACAACATTTTGAAAGAGGTAATGCATGTTCTCTGCACAATAGTATCTCCTGTATAGGTACACTTACCTGGTATGTGAAATATGTATCCAGGGAAATGGCTTAGGTATGCCATGGGTACGAAAGAGATACGTGCCAGGTGCTTTTGTGAGAATGTCAAGGAATGAATGTGATTTAAAAAAAAACATATTTAGGGATACTAGAATGAGTATACTGAATCTACTTTTAAAAAATTAAAAAATAATGGGTATTTTTTAAAATATCATAAATTTGAGAGCACACGTAGGGTTCTCTTTAGTGTTTACAGATTGATCAATCATCTCTCTCGTTATCAGTCGAGCTTCTCTCTCTCTCTCTCTCTCTCTCTCTCGGTTGGCGCTGAACACTAGTTTATACCTTGCTTTATCTACTTTATGCATCTGATTTCTAATTATAATAAGTAATGCACAAGTACAAATTATGGGCGCAATTTATACCCATATCCTTTTTAAATAAGTTTAATAGTACAAATATTCATAACTTACTCGTAAGTGTATCCGTGCTTCATATGTCCCATATTTCTTTACTTTTTTTTTTTTTCCTTTTTCATGTCCTCCTTTTGACGATTATCAATGGTAGTTGACATGAAAAAAGAAATCATTTTCACCATTTATGTTTTTTTTGCTGCAAGTAGCCTGATTTCTGGACTGAGCCAGAGAGTGCAATCAGGAGCGCTTATCGTATAACTGATACTTTCTGGACTGAGCCAGAGAGTGCAATCAGGAGCGCTTATCGTATAACTGATACTACTATTTTGGAGAAAGCGGTTGATTTTGGTAAAGGGGGTTCAACTGCAGTTACAGCAATATTAATCAATGGCCAGAAGCTGGTAGTAGCTAATGTTGGAGATTCTCGGGCTGTTATCTGCAAGAATGGTGTGGCCAAACAATTATCAGTTGATCACGAGCCCAACAGGGAGAGGACCACCATTGAGAACAAAGGTGGTTTCGTAACAAAATTTCCAGGTAACTAGACTTTTTTTGAAGACAAATTAAAACTGGAAGACAAATGTGTTTTGGGGGCATTCACATGCTACCATCATATTTGTCACGGTGTTCCAAATGGTGGAATTTTTTTTATTTTCGGTGTGTTTGGTTGAGTGCCCCCTCCCCCTCCCTTGCAATTAGGGTTGCAAATGAACCGAGCTCCTCGTGAGCTTGGCTCAAGTTGGAAGGGCTCAACTTGGCTCGGTTCACGTATTAGATTTTTAGGCTCGTTTATTATTTATTATAGTAGGATAAATATATTATTTATATATTAAAATAATGGTAAAATGCGTTAAATATGCATTATGTAATATAGAATAATATTTAATGAGCCAACCGAGCTTTGATTATTGAGCCCGACTTTTTCTTCATTATCGACTTTCGAACTGAGGTCAAGCTTGATTAATATTAACATGCCAAGCCAAGCTCGAGCACTACAAAGCTTAGCTTGGTTTGACTCGCTTGCAGCCCTATTTGCAACCATCATTCATGTTGACCCTGTTATTTTTGTTAAGTGTCTTTCTTTGATTAGTATTTTCCTGTGTTTGCCATGATTTGGAAGACACAACTTCTTTTCACAAATGATTTTACATTTATGTGATATCACAATGGCGAATGTTAATCTTACATGGGCAATTTTTTTTATTTTTTTAATTTCTAATCTCCTTTGCCTAATCTTGGTGTTAAGATTACACCCTCTAAACATTACGTCGTGTAAATTCAGGCGACGTTCCTCGTGTTGATGGACAGTTGGCCGTAGCTAGAGCATTTGGTGACAAAAGCTTGAAGGAACACCTCAGTTCAGAACCAGATGTCGCATCGGAGATTATAGATGATGATACAGAGTTTATTATCTTGGCAAGTGATGGTGTATGGCAGGTTGGTCCTTCCTCCTCTTTCGTATCTGTGGTTCATTACCCTTTATTCCCCTCTTTAAGCTTTCTGAATGAAATTGTATATTCAATTGTGTAATTGATACAAGAATACATTGGTATATATAACAATCCAAACCCTAGAACTGAAAAAGGAAACAAAAATATAAGCTCAATCCGTAACATATATAGAATATATACTACCATATATACATAAATCTAATATAAGCTCAATCCCTAATATATACAGAATATATACTACCATATATACATAAACCTAATATTCTCATACCTCCCATCAAACTCAAGGTGTTTTAGCAGAAAATACTGAGAGTTTGTTAAGAAGAAGCTGGAACCGAGCAGTGGTGTGAGTCTTGGTAAAGAAGTCAGCAAGTTGCAGAGTCGAAGAGACGAAAGGATGCGAGATAGAGCTAGACTGCAGATGTTAACGGACAAAGTGACAATCAATTTCAGTGTGCTTCATCCGCTTATGGAAGACAGGGTTATGGGCAATCTGAATAGCACTCTGGTTGTCACAGTTGAGGGAGGTCGGAGAAGACTGATAGACACCCAAATTAGATAAGAGACAACGAAGCCAAACAATCTTATCGATAGCATGAGCCATAGCACGGTGCTCAGTTTCGGCAGTAGAACGAGCAACAACAGTTTGCTTCTTACTTTTCTAAGAGATCAATGAATCACCAAAAAACATATAGAAATCAGACGTAGACTTGCGATCATTGATATCACCAACCTAATCAAAATCAGCATAAGCCACCAAGCCCAAAAAGGATGTAAAAGACAACAGTAAGCCCTGAAATATAGTACCCCAAAGATAGCGAATAATCCAAACCAAAGCAGCCCAATTTGTAGAACGAGGAGCAGAAACGAACTGGCTAACCACATGAATAACATAGGCAAGATCAAGGCGAGTGATAGTTAGATAGACTAAGCAACCCACAAGCTCTCGATATGAATCTAGAGGGACACCATCAGTAGTCTTAAGCTTCACATTAAGCTCAATGGGGGTATCAAAAATCTTAGTGTCAGTAAGACCGGCATAGTGAATAACCTCATTTGCATACTTAGCATGAGATAGAAAGTAGCCTTTAGGAGAAGAGGCTATCTCAATACCAAGAAAATACCTCAAGGGGCGTAGATTCTTCATTTCGAAGGTACGGAGGAGATGTTGCTTGATCTCAAAGATAGCAGAAGAGTCGGAGCCAGTGATGATTATATCATCCGCATATAGTAATTGGGCAACAAAACTAGCAGATATGTGAAGGAGAAACAGAGCAGAATCCTGAGCATAAGGATAAAACACAAGCTGAGTGACAGCGGCCTACGAGGAGATTGCTTCAAACCATATAAAGCATGTCGAAGACGACAAACCTGTCCAGAGGATTGAAGAAGGCCGGGGGGAGGACGCATGCAAACCTCCTCAGTGAGATGGCCATTAAGAAAAGCATTCTTAACATCCATTTGATAAAGAGGCCAATGACAAACAGCAGCAATAGAAATCAAAGTACGAATAGTAGTCATCTTGGCTACAGGGGGCAAAGGTCTCCTCATAATCAATATCATATTCCTAGGAGAAACCTTTGGCAACCAGACAAGCTTTGTAGTGCTCAAGAGAACCATTAGAGTGAGTCTTGACTTTATAGATCCATTTGCAACCAACCAAATTTTTGCCAGCAGGCAATGGAACTAACTCCCAAGTAGTAGTCTGCTGCAAAGCAGATAGCTCATCCTCTATAGCTTGAACCTAATTAGGATCCTGACAAGCTTTTTGTAAGACTGGAGTTTTGAAAAATAGTGAATAGCAGACAAAAAGGTGCAGTATGAAGGAGAAAAACACATTTTAGCAAAACTAAGTTTGACTGTCAGTTTACGGATGCGAAGAGAATACTTACGGTTAGCAAGATCAGAGTCGTCAGAGACAGGGGGATCAACAGCAGGTGCAGAGACAATTGGTGGAGGAGGAGCCTTGCGACGAGAATAGACTAACAAAGGAGGAGGAAAAGGAGCAGGAAGGGGAAAACGAGGAGGAGAAGAGGAAATAGACTCATGGGAGTCAGGGGAGAGGGACTCATCAGGTGGGTTGGGACAAGGAGAAGATGGAACAAGCTCATGGGAAACATCAGAGATGTACTCATTAGAAGAGACCTCAAAAAGAAATGGATCAATATGAATCAAATTCTCTTTAGAAACTGGGGCTGTGAGAGGAGGAAGTTGAAAGTAAGGTAGACGTTCAAGGAAGGCAACATGGTGGGAGACATAGGCGACGGGAAACAGGGTCATAACAATGGTAACCTTTTTGAGTGAGACTATAACTCAAAAAGACACACAAGACAGATTGGCCACTCAATTTGGTCCTATCTTTACGGGGTTAAAGGGCAAAACAAGCAGACCCAAACATACGAAGGAGGGAGTAATTGGGAAGTTGAGAAAACAGAGCCTTATAAGAAGATCGACCAGAGATAAGGGAGTAGGCATACGGTTGAGAAGAAAAGCAGCAATAAGAATTGCTTTATCCCAAAACGGAGCCGGAACAGAGGCAGAGAGAAGGAGAGACTTAGCTGTCTCAAGGAGATGACGATGTTTATGTTCAGTGCGACCATTTTGGGCAAATGCATCAGTACAAGAAGTCTGGTGAATGGTACCTAAATAGGCCAAATACTCACAGAACTCAATTTTAAAATATTTCCCACCCAAGTCGGACAATAATAATTTAATAGATCCAAACTGTGTAGTAATAATGAAAAGTGCGGTATATCTGGTAGAAGTCAGACTTATGAGTCATAAGATAAACCCAAGTGTAATGCTTGCAGTCATCAGCAAATGACGCATAGTATGCAAAGCCCCCTTTAGTGAGAATAGGAGAAGGACCCCAGATATCAGTATGAACTAAAGAAAACAGTGTATCAGATATAGAAGTACTTTTACGGAAAGATAAGGCTGTCATTTTGGCAAGTTTACACCCCTGACATTCATTAAGTTGACTAGGAAAAACTTTTCCTAATATACTTGACTGAGCTAACGACCGTAGGCGGTCAGCAGACAAATGCCCTAATTTGGAATGTCACAAATAGAAAGGACTTGACAGAGAATCTAACTGAAAAGAGGAAAAGGTAGTTATAGGCAGATGCAAGCTTTCTACAACATAGAGGTCTCTAATTTTACGGCTAGTCCTAATATGTTACTGGGACATCTGATCCTGCACAGAACAGATAGAAGAAGAAAATATAACATTAAAACCGGAAGCATCAAGGTAACTGATAGATAATAAACTGACAAATAACTAAGGAACATATAAGACAGATAGAATAGAGACAACAGACATAGCAGATGGCAGAACACACCCAACAGATATAACAGACATACCAGACCTATTAACAACATTGACAGTAATAGGAAAAGGAGGAGGAGTACAATTTTAGAGTAAAGAGAGATGAGGAGTCATATGATAAGAGGCACCAAAGTCAAAAATCCAGACAGACGAAGAGATACTTGAAGAAGATCCTAGCAAACCTGAATGAAGAGAGAAAACAATTGAGGCAGACGGGAAGGGCCGGAAGGGAGACAATATATGCTGAAGCTGAGCAATCGGAGCACTCAAGGAAGTCAAGTCAGGATCAGGAGTCGGAGTAGATGTAGTAAAATGGGCAGGAGGCCAAAAAGTACTCGAAGGAGGGGTGCGGAACTGGATCGGAAGCTGCTGAGACGACGAGGTAGACAGACGTCCCTTCTTGGGACAATGATGCTTCCAATGACCCCTCTGATGGTAGAAAGCACACTCATCTAAAGCCAGTAGCCTATTTTTGGGCCTAGCAATCTTGTCATCCATCATTGTAATGAACTAGCAAGAACAATATATAAAAACCAAACAAAAGAGTGCCAATATGCAAATAGCGATGTCCACTGGAGTCAAAGAATAATAAGCACTAAATTACCAAGTGAATAACACCTCAGATAAGGAACCGGATGATAATACCTAGATGGGTCAAAGATCCAGACCTATTTCAGAGAGAGATTGCACTTGAGAGAGCCAGAAAACCAGAGACGAATTGGTTGCTTATCTTAGAGAACCAGAGGGAGATTACACTAAGAAATCAAAGCCCAGAAGTCAATCTAGAAGGAGAAGAGGCCACGTCGACCCTGAAGGTGAGGAGACCACCAGACCAGAGAACCACAGAGAGAGCTCACGAGTTGACAACTCCACCGAAGGTCATGAACGACGATGAATCGTGATTCCGACGACCTAGCACAGATCGCGAACTTTGCAAAGGGATCTCGAGACAAAAGACCAAGAAGAGAGAACTTCGGGTGAGATCGCAAGCCTTAGATGACTCAAACTAGAAACTCACAGTGAACCAGGGACAGCGACGGCGAACTAGAAAGTCGACTTTGACTTTGAGATTCAAAGTCGAAAGAGAGGGTGTAGACAAGGCACGACTTCGGCAGTAAATTAGAGGCAGAGATGGAAGCCACAAATTGTAGTTTTAGTTCTAGGATTCAGACAAAGGTGGCTTTGATACATGTAAGCTTTCTGAATGAAACTATATATTCAATTGTGTAATTGATACAAGAATACATTGGTATATATAACAATCCAAACCCTAAAACTAAAAAAGGAAACAAAAATGTAAGCTCAATCCCTAATATATACAGAATATATACTACCATATAAACATAAACCTAATATTCTCACACCCTTTCCCCCCAGAAAAAAAAAATCCTGAAGAATGCATTTTTGAAGTACAATGCATAGTTTGCTTGGACTAGTGAGTTTACAGAGGTAATATCTACTAAATTTTAATACGCATTAGCTGTACGTGTGGTTTACTTTAAAGGTTGTGTGAACACCATGGGTGATTGGAGAGACTTAACAGAACTCTAATAGAAGCGTCAAAAGTATATACAAAATCCTGTTATCAATTCCTAGATAGAAATATCCAAATCGGACTACTAGGTTCTTCCAATTAACCACTTCCAAAATCTCTAGCTGCATATTAGAAAAGGCAGGATGCTAGCACAGTTAGAAAGGGCAGCTTAGTGCACGAGGCTGCTGCTACAATGGATTATGAAGAAAGTCAGGTGTATGTAGTCTTACCTTATGTTACATGGAATCTTCAGTGCTGAAGTACCCTTGTCGACCCAGCCTGACCTGAGATATGGATCCAATCCTTCTGTTTTAAACTTGGGTGTTTCTTTTTTTCTTTTTTCTTTTTTTGGAGGAAAAATAAAATAAAATTTGGAGTTGTATCATCACCAATATATTAAAATCATTGTATTCTATATTCAGGTTATAGTAAATCATTGTATACAATATGATTTATCATAAATAAATTTTCTTTTTTACTACTCAATTTGCTTCCCTTGAATATTTTATGGAATCAGGTAATGACAAATCAAGAGGCAGTGGACTGTATCAAGAACATAAAGGATGCAAAATCAGCCGCGAAGCACCTGACTGAAGAGGCACTTGCAAGGAATAGCTCGGACGATATTTCCTGCATAGTTATAAGGCTTTGCTGATTGGTCCTCTGGTTTTCGTGACTTATCAAAGTAAGTAAGAAAGAATTGTTCAGTTAACGGAGCTTTAGAATCGAACCAGATGCTGATATATTGTGCCTTTGTATCAGCCTTCTATGCTTGCTATTGTATGGAGATTTTAATTTTTCTTTTTCTTTTTGTTGTATATTGTGAAAATTGTCCTTGATGTGTTGACAAATATTCAGTTGAAAAATGTTCCAGAGCTCTAAACAATGAGCTCTAATGGAGCTCTAATCAGTGGACCCTACCCATTAATGGGATAATTTGGCCTGTGGTTTTTTTTTTTTTTTTTTTGCACTGTTAACTTATTAGAGTTGACTTTGGAGCTGCAAGTTTAGAGTTTTGAATCACTATCCATGTTCAGTTTAGTTGCTCCCAAGGATGGACGGACCATGAATGTTATTGTGACTTTTTTCATTTGGAGAGCAATAGGGAGGTACATAGAGTTTTTATTTATTTATTTATTAACAATTGGTCAGAGGAGGATATAGGGGAAGGAGGGATGGTTTGGGAATGCACTAAATAAGTACATTTATTTAGATTATATTATTTTTATTTTTATTTTTTTAATATATTTTTTTGTAAAAAGTTAAAATAAAAAGGAAGAGAGTACCTTAGTAAGAAAGTGCTTCAATTACCCAGTCTATCCCTTGGTCTTATATAGGCCTTGTCTGGGAAGTTGGTTATTTTAATTTTTAACTATTTTAGTAAGTTAAGATTTTTGTATTTGGAAAGATGAGGGGATTTTTTTGTAATTTGATGTGATGTTTGTGAGAGAAAAAGTGAAATGATTATAAGTTTGATGTGACATTTTATCTTATTGGTTATTTTAATCTATTTTGTCTTTTTGTGAATTTTAGCTTAAAAAGTCAAATTTTAACTTTTGCCAAACAGGGCTCTATAGAGTTTATTAGAGTTTTTTTAATTTATTTTTATTAATAACTCCTGGATTTTAGTTTAAAAAATAGAACCAAAATGTGCGTTGAAAAGTATCCTCTACTATTCCAAAAAAAACCCCCAAAAATATCCATCTAATTTAGTCCCCGTTAATGGGGCTTCAGAGGTGAATTAAGTAGAGGCTTACCTTCAATTATAATGTACGAAGCGATTTATGACTATTCAAACCCAAACATCAAGTGAGGATCATATTATTGAATAATTGACCAACTTTTAAATCCAAGCATGTATATGAATGAGTCAGCATCAATCAAACATCAAGTGGGCTCATTTAAAAAAAAAAAACAGTATCTTGTGGTCACATCGCTCCTGCCTCAAAATTAGTTCTAAAATTTTTTGATTTTATATTTTATTTTCTTAATTTTGGCACTGAGCAATGTTACAGCACACTATTTTTTATTGATTACTTGAGGGGTGTTCGAAAAATGAAAATGTCTCGTAACTCAAATTTTATGGCTCAAAAGTGGCTCAAAATGGCCAAAACGTTTATGTTGTTCTGTACTCAAAACGACGTCGTTTTGACCATTTGAGCCACTTTTGAGCCACAAAATTTGAGCTACGTAGCATTGTCGTTCAAAAAATTCGTTAGACCCAATCACTTAGGGTGTGTTTGGTTTGTGTTTGATAGATGTGTTTTAGAGATAAAAAGTACGAAAAGTTGTTTGGTTCGGTTTTTTTGAAAAGATATTTTGAAAAATTATTTTGAGAGAGAGTTTTAGAAAAAGTGATTGATTTGATGTGTATGAGAGAGAGATTTGTTTGGAAAACTTGTTTGGTTTACAAGTTTTGAGAAATTTTTTTGGGAAAATTTGTTTGGTTTCATTACTTTTAAAAACTTATTTGTAGAGAAAATTTCTCAAAATTTTTTCCGAAATTCAAACCAAACGAACCCTTAATCTATTGTGTCAATTTAATTTGATTTTAATTAGTTTCAGTTTTAGTTTTGATTTCAAAAATAGTTAAATCGTTCAAGTTAGTCTTTTTTACAATTCTAAGACTTTGATACCAATATTGTTGTTTATTATTTTTTAATATTACAAAAGGTAAAATCAAGAGTATAAAAGGTACTAACAAGAATGAACCAATTTTTACTACAAAATTGAAAAAATTCCTCCTAACTCAACTATACTAATGGTTACTAGAGTGTTTGCTATTAAAAAATACATATCATACGCCTATATAAAAAATTTAAAATCGTAAAACCAAACTAAACCAAATCGATTTCTATAGTTCAATTTTGGTCAGATTATATAAGCTCAATACTTCACTTACGATTCAAATTTTTTCTCAAGCCAATAGTTTGGTTCCTAATTCACTCTGAATTGGACCATTTCAATTTGTGAACCCTAGCCTACTCACATTGGGAGTGAGACTCACATAATCAATTGGTGTGAGCCTCACTCCCATTATGAGTAGGGAGTATAAAATGCAATCGAAAATAGTCTCTAATCATATTCATGTAAACACCATAAATTTGTTCTAATAAAGATAGTTATTATTGGAATCAGATCCTCAGAGGTACATATACAAGTGTAAACCAACTATCCCACAACAAGAAGTAAATCATGACCCAACTTAATTATGTACTTGATCTGGACACAAATCAACAACAGAGCATAAGATAAAATACTAGAATCATTTGTAGCAGGAGATAGATTCAATAGAATATGACAGAAGAGAGTAAGCCTCATGAGAATCAACAACTAAATCATTTGATGTGGAATTGCTTGTAAGTTGGATTCCCAGGAAAAGCTATCAGAGTTCTGCCTCTATCGTCTGCCTGCCTACTACAGTGATTTTCGTTCAACTCACTGCCCAATCTTTGGCTACTACACCCTTCTCCTCCTCCATGGGGTGATTCCGATGAGCTCTTCCGGCGTCGCTCATTATGCCCCGCCAAACGCCTTCGGCAACTTCTCTTTGTGTCATCAAACTCAGATAGCTCATGAAACCTGAGGTTTTGTAAATAGGTGTAAGTATTAGAATAATTGGAAACAGAGAAATTTTATAGTAGACTAGAATTGATGAATCAGCCATCTGTTTCATTCTTGTACTGAGAATTTTGATTGTGTCTGATTTGTAATCATCAAAGGTAACTTTCAACTTCAGTTGAAAATACAGGCAAAGGAAGCTTAAGCCATGACTCGACCAGAGCTAAGGTTTTTTTGGCAAAATGAGTTTTTTGAGCCAATAAATTAGTTTTTTAAGCCATGACCAAATGAAGCCTTAGGCTACCTAAACCATAGTAAACATGTTAAATGAACCAACGCTTCTCTCACATCTAAACAAAATAAATAGGCCGCCTAAATCATAGTAAACATGTTTGGTAAGCCTCTCCTTAATCCACTGAAAAAGATTATTATTTTATTGTACTTTTTCTGTTGCCAATGAGCATCCCAACGTAAACGTTAGACACATGTAAACAACGGGTATCAATTAAGATCGGACACAACACAAAAAGAAATCAAATCTAAGATGTTTGAATTTTCGGTTCATCCCAAGACCCCCCAAAAAAATAATAAAAAAACTTTCACCAGGTTCATTTTCAATTAGTTACCTCACCAAACAAGTGGCCTTAGAAACCTTTTCCAAACCATGTCCCATTTTGATTTTAACAATCTATATCATCAATTTACTGGTGAATCTGGCATAAGTTTTTCCTCCACTTTTTACAACATGAATATGACGTGTCCAATTGAGAAAAATTTGCATTTTCAGCAAAGTTGGTGCTAATGCTCTATTTGATTGTGTAAAAAGTCGCAAGAAAATATACATATAAAGGATTCTTACATGTGCCACTCCTATTTCAATCATCACTAAGAATTTCAAATTGTCATTTGTTATCTTTCATTTTCTCGGCAATCAAACATTAACATACGGAAACTTTTAATACAGTAACAAATTGTAATAAATCGAAGAAAAGTCAGGCAACTCTAGTAATTGTTTTTAACCTTCAAGACAAAGGAATCAACCAGTTAACAGCATTTCCAATCCTTTTCACCATTATCAACTCCAATCATTTCCTCAAGTATTCATCAAATCAAGATAAAGTAATTTTTTCATCAAATCATTCATCAAAAAATTTGATGAAAATTCAAAAAGATGAAATACGGAAGATGATTTTTTTCACCAAAGTTGATGAAAAGGAAAATTTGGCATAAGAGGAAAATTTTTAAAAAGATTTTGATGAAAACTTGATGAATGGATGGGAATAGTTCATATCAAATTAAATTTTTTACTCAAATTTAAAATCAAATTAGATGAAAAAATTGGTAAATGGTTGGAGAAACTCTAAGCTTTGTAAATACATATACAAGTAGATAAAGTTGCAGATATGGCAGCAAAGCATAGCTAAAGTATAACAAAGTTAATATTAAATGAGGTTAGCTGAGTGGGGGGGTAGGCTTTCTCTTTTTCTTTTTTAATCAATTAATAACATATTAATTATAAACATGAAAAAAATTGTATCAAATTTGATAATTTTAATGTAAGAGCATCTCTACTGTTGGGTCACTTTTTGTCAAAAATAATTATTAAATTATTTTTTCCATCAGGTGGTTCTTTGTTGGATTGAGTTGTTTATTTATTTCTATTATAGCTTATTTATTGTGGTAATTATTGGGTATCTAATTCTTTGTAATAGCTATTGTAATAGTTTGCTTATTAGAGTGATTAAAATATGATAATGTTAACTATAATAGCTAATAAATTTCATTTAAAGAATTCCTTAGATAGAATCGTATATAAGGAATTAATTTCATTTTATTCCCTAAATGTCACTTTTTTTATTTTTTATTTTTTATAATATGAACAACGTAAATCACAATACCAAACACTCATTTTTATACTCACACATACATCTTACAACTAAACACTCCAATTCTTATATTAAATTTTTTTTTGTTTGATTATACGATTTCAGTTGTTTAATTTTGAAGTCACTTTTTTTTTCCATCAAATTAAGTTTTAACTGTTCCTAAAGCTAATTTAGCCAATTGGATCGTATTAGCTTAAAATTAATGATTTAGATCATTTCTAATGTTACTCAGATGTTCCATTAAGGCCTCGTTTGGGAACAGGCTAATTTAGTAACTTTTTGGCTATTTGGCTAAAAGGATAGGTAAAAAAAATTTGTATGTTTGGGATGACTTTTTGGCTAATTACGAAAAGATGTGCAAAAAATAGAGAGAAAAGAGAATCTTTGACTTTTTGGTATGAGTTGTTGACTTTTTGACTAATTTAATAACTTTTTAGCTAATTGACTAAAAAAGTAAGTCTCAAAACGGGCCTAAATTTGAAAAAAAGTAACTTTTTTCACTCCAACCATTCCATCAAACTCCTATTAGAAGAATTTTTTAGAAGAATTTTTTATCAAATCAAGTAGCTTTTATCATTCTATCAAATTTCGCAGGTGACCGTTGGTGGACGACCGGCCGAACAACAAGATTTTGGCTGCACAACCTGCTTGTCAACCGAATATTTACTGGCCAGATTTGACGAAAAGTTCCGCTCACCATTGAAGGGCATCATACTGAATCAAGTTTTTCATCAAATTTTTACTTAAATTTAATAAAAAATTTAAGTGAGCGTTGGAGATACTTTTAGGATGAAATTAAAAAAAATCACCATAGTATGAGGATAAAAATGAAATTAATCCATTATTTAAAAAACAAAAAAGTTAATTTATTTATAGTAGCATAATAAGTAAACTGTGACGCTATGTTCTTCAAGGTATTTTCTTACCAAAAATAACCACACAAAAAAAAAAAAAAAAAAAAATGAGAACTAGGGTTTTGATCAACACCTGCTGCATTGCTGACAGAACCTCTGCCGGAGTCCGGCGACAATCGCCGCCGTAGCCTTGGCGTGGAGTTCGCAAACCTTATGGCGGCGGTAGTACCTTTTCGCCTCCGTCAGATCAGCTTCGCACTTCTCCGCTTGACAACGCGGCGGCGACGACAACAACCCACCACCACCACCCCCCCGTTTCTTCCCAGAACCACCATCGAAACCGACTTTCACCTTCTTCTTCTTGTTCTTCTTCTTAAGACCACCTTTTTCCGAAGAAATCCCAAATTCACTTGCGTAATTTTCATCTTCTTCTTCGACGCTATCATCATCATCATCTGGAGCAAAATCGTCTGATTTTTGTTTGGAGAGTGAGGATGGGTTTGGCCTACGAGAGTCCATTTTTGTGAGGCTCTAAGAAAATGAGAGAGAATGAACAAATGAAGAAATAAACTACAACTACTGAATGAATGAATGAAGAGGAAGACATAATGAGAGAGACAGCGAGAGAGAGAGGGTTGTGAGGACCACATCTACCTCCCTCTCTTTTCACAAAATTTTCTTGCTCAGTCAAATGCAGTATTATACGGGTGGCTGCTTGGCCTCCGCACAGGACCCACTGGCTTATGTTTCATTTGGGAGTTCATTTTGATAATTTAAAGGTTCATTTTTTTAAATATAGGCTTTGTTTGGTTTCTCTTTGATGAAATACAAATACATTTTTAGAATAATCAAATCAAATAGATTTTTTTTTAAAAATTCTTAGTAATATGTTTGGTGGACTTTTTTCAGAATAATTTTTGAAACATGTTTGCAAACACAATTTCAAAAAAAATTCTCAAAAATCCATTTTAATGTTTTTTTTTTATAAAAATTATGAACACCCCGAATTAAATAAAAAAAATGCAAAAAATGGTATAAAATAAATTTCAATGTTATACATAATTGGATATTTCCATTTTTTTACATACTTGGATTTTTTTTCATTTTTAATACATCATTTTCATATTTTATATGTAATCAACATTTTTTTCTATTTCTATATGTAATTATTTTTTGTCGTTATTGTACATAATTGTCATATTCATATTTGTTATAAGCATATTTTATATGTAATTAACATATAAAGGGAAAAACTACAATGACAATACATTTAAAGACACATTAAATAAAATATATATAAAAAATTAAATTTATTAGATATTGATAATTTTTTTATTGAATCATATTTATATTTAAAAAAATAAATGGTAAATATAATTTGAATTAAAAAATTATATACAAACGTAATTCGATAAAAAATCTATCAATATTTAATTAATTTAATTTTTATAAATATATTTTATTTAATATATTTTTTAATATGAACGATTTAAATAATCAAAATAAATCTCTATTTTGAAATTTTTTTTTTTATAAATATAAAAAAAAATTAAATAAAAAATTATAAAAATATTATTAGAGTGAAATATTAATGACATTTTAAAAATTATAAAAATAATAATGATTATTTTGATTGAAAATGAAGAAACTATTATAAATAAATTATATTAACTATGAAAATTTTTGAATGTAACGATGATGTTATTATTAGTGATATGCAAGTATAAGTAATCTCACTATAAAGATATGAAATTTATTAGATTATTAGTTACATTTGACATGTGAGGTTCACTCTTTATGCGTTTATTTATCATTAGTGGGTGATATTGCATACCAATGATGACGTGGTATTACCATTATATTCAATTTTTAATCAAATTTTGTATCAAAAAATAATTTATCATTATATAATTTATTTTAAGGTTTACATCTATATTTTTTTTTGTATTGTCCATGATACACTAGTTACAAACAATTTTTTTTTTTTTATATTTCCTGAAATTAATCGTAAAAAATTTACATGAAATATTTTTATAAAAATTATTATAATTAGTAAGTGCCGCTCCAAATTAAATTTCTAACTCCGCTGCTGCATTGGCCTACGGGGTCAACCTGTTCAATTTCAGAATGAGAATGAGACTAGTTTTTTGATTTTTTTTTTTGTTGTTAAAAATAAAAATTATCAAATTAATTTGATCTCCAAAAAAATGTAAATTTATTTGAAAATGGTGGCCCATTAGTGACGTAAGCAAATATATGAGAATTAGTTTTTTGATTTTTTTTTGGTTACAAATAAAAATTATCAAATTGATTTTATCTTAAAAATATGTAAATTTATTTGAAAATGGTGGCCCATTAGTGGCGTAAGCAAACATGTTTTAATTGATTTTTTTGATGTTTTGTGAAAAAATATATAAAAAAGTAAAACGAATGATATGATAATTTATAATGTCTTTTTAATTTTTGTTTTTTGGATTAAAAACTCACATTTCCTAAGAGCATCTCCAACGGTGAACTTTTTTTTTCACCAAATTTGAGTAAAAAATGACTCATTTCATCAAATTTGATATCACTACCTCCAACAGTGTGCATCAAATCCTGTATCAAATCCCGTGGGTCAACCGGTTGGTCGACCGGTAAGCATAAATATTTTTTTTTAGAACGCTATGTTTTTAAAATTATTTGAATTGATGAAAACCCACCAATTATATCATTTGACGAAAACTCACAAATTGTTTGGTTGCTGTCAATATCTTTGGCATGAAAACCCACCAATTGAAATTGCCTTTCATTCTCATTGATTCATCCACTAGTTGCAGCTTTCATTCTCATAGATGCATCAATTGAAACAGTTTGGTGGTGGGTCGACCGATTGGTTGACCGGCCAGTCAACCGGTAAGGCAAAAATTTTTTTTTTTTTTTGGGCTGTTTGAACCTTTTTTGACCGGTTTGAACCTATCTATTTCAAAGGAATTCGGTCGACCGGTTGGTCAACCGGCCGGGCAACCGGTTGGTCGGCTGGGTCCTCCCTCTAACGGTCACCAACAGTATTTTTGGTGAAATCAGTATCTTGTCGTCGATTTGATCAATTATTTGATGAAATCTCAATTTGATATTGATTTGGTGCAACCGTTGGAGCTGTGAACAGTGACTTTTTTATCAAAATTTAAATTTGATATCAACTCTGATGAACCGTTGGAGATGGTCTAATAAGACCTAAATAGATAGATAGGTAAAACTAAGGCGTTGTCTAAGAAATGATTATTTTAATTAATTTTTTTATTATTTTTTACACAAAAAAATACATAAAGGAGTGACACTGATATAATAATTTACAGTGACTTTTTGACTATTAACCCAAGTCCTCAACGGGACCAAATTTATCTTTTTAAATTGTTGCATAAATTATACTCACATTTTTTGAGATTTGACAAAAATATAAGTTAGTCATATCCGTTTGGGAAGTGGGTTGACTTTTGACTTTTTGATTTTTTTTGAATATTTTAGCCTGGACTAAAAAGTTTGGTTTGGGAATGATTTTTTTGTTTTTTTAGCTTTTTTAGTTTTTTTTTTTTTTGTGAAAAAAGAGTGTAATGATTATGGGTTGGATGTGATGTTTTGTTTGTTGTGGCTAAAATAGTCTATTTTGTCTTTTATGGCTAAAATAGTTTGATATAAATACATTAATAGTATCTATTTTAATAAAGTTAAAACCATCTAAACTAATACACATGGCAGATAGACAAAGATGGAACTAGAAGAAGATTATGGGGGGTCATGGTTTCCCTATTTTCGTAAAAAAATATTGTTTGTCATAGAATTTTAATAATATATCTATTTCATTTTATACATAAAGTGGTCTCCCCGTATAAAAAACATATATGTCATCATTTTTTCATCTTGTATTCTCTTTCTATTTTGTACCAAAAAAACTTTTTCATTCTATTAGAAATCGCTTCAATGGTATTTAATTTTTTTTATGTATATATAATTTATATATCATATTAGACATACATGTGTGTTTTGTGTATATACTGAAAAAAAAAATATTTTTCTTTTGGTTGCTCTGATAGCTCTGATAATGAAATTCTGGTTCCGTCTCTACTAGGGGTGTTCGCGGATCGGTTTTGTGCGGTTTGCGGTTCGGTTTTGACCCGCCCGCATCTATGCGGTTTGGGAAAAAGTCATGGTCTAATAAGACCTAAATAGATAGATAGGTAAAACTAAGGCGTTGTCTAAGAAATGATTATTTTAATTAATTTTTTTTTTTTTTTTACACAAAAAAATACATAAAGGAGTGACACTGATATAATAATTTACAGTGACTTTTTGACTATTAACCCAAGTCCTCAACAGGACCAAATTTATCTTTTTAAATTGTTGCATAAATTATACTCACATTTTTTGAGATTTGACAAAAATATAAGTTAGTCATATCCGTTTGGGAAGTGGGATGACTTTTGACTTTTTGATTTTTTTTGAATATTTTAGCCTGGGTTAAAAAGTTTGGTTTGGGAAGGATTTTTTTGTTTTTTAGCTTTTTTAGTTTTTTTTTGTGAGAGAAGAGTGTAATGATTATGGGTTGGATGTGATGTTTTGTTTATTGTGACTAAAATAACCTATTTTGTCTTTTGTGACTAAAATAGTTTGATATAAATACATTAATAGTATCTATTTTAATAAAGTTAAAACAATTTAAACTAATACACATGACAGATAGACAAAGACGGAACTAGAAGAAGATTATGGGGAGTCATGGTTTCCCTATTTTTGTAAAAAAATATTGTTTGTCATAGAATTTTAATAATATATCTATTTCATTTTATACATAAAGTGGTCTCCCCGTATAAAAAACATATATGTCATCATTTTTTCATCTTGTATTCTCTTTTTATTTTGTACCAAAAAAACTTTTTCATTCTATTAGAAATCGCTTCTATGGTATTTAATTTTTTTTATGTATATATAATTTATATATCATATTAGACATACATGTGTGTTTATTATGTTTGCGAAACCGCCCACTTATATGCGGGTTGGGCGGATTGGGCGGTTTGAGCGGTTCGGATAAACCGTTGCCCACCCCTAGTCTCTACAAATAGACATATAAATAAACAAACATAAATATATATTTTAATAGAAAAAAACATGACAATATTATTTTTTCACCCATACAACTCACGAATTATCAATAAGAAATAACCTAAATATTATATGAATTAAAATCTCAATAGAAAATATTGTAATTATGTAAAAAAAATATAAGATTAACTATATATATATATATTTAAATTTAGGAAAAATGAATGTAATTTACCCTAAATTATTTTATTATTTTTTAACTCCAAAAGAGTATTTTAAAAAATTTCCTTAAAAACTTTAAAATTAAACTTATAACGGAAATGCTCTTAAAATATAACTCGGAGTGATTATACTGCTTTATGCAATAATGGTTACTGTTATGCAGTCAATAAATTCTATTTCGATAATTTAAATAATTTATTTTTTAAGATATGTTAAGTAGAATGTATCTGTAAGTTAATTGGATATCGATAACTCTTTCCATCTAATCATGTTTGTATTTA